ATGTAGCTCAAAATGCCCAGCAATGACCTTTGTAAGGTTCGGATCACTCATCTCCCTACCCTAAGAAGCCCCAAGCCCTAAATCCTGAACCCTAAACCCTAAACCCTAAACCCTAAACCCTAAACCCATTAAAGGGGTACTCTTTCTGTCAGATGACTGAAAAGCCTGGAATTCCTGGCAAACAGGCCAGGCCCTGGAGGTTGTACGCACCTCCAACTAGGATGCCCAGTAGTACCCTTATTCCCTTTGTGGGGGGGGGTTTAGGTTCCCATATAAACCCCTTTAAGCAAAAAAGGGCACCCTTTTTGAGCCTAGGTTACTGGGCAGCCTAGCCAATCCAACACCTCCCAAGAAACCTAAACCCTTAGACACCCTAGTTCTCTAAGTTAGGGTCCTTGTCTCTGAAGGGGGAAGGCTCCTTACTGTAAGGAGGCCGCGTGCTGTATGTGGTGCCCTAAAGCAACAGGACCCTAATGTAGAGAACCACCCGCATCCTAATTAATCTTGAGGGTTTAGCGTAAGCCGGCTAAGCTTCGCATGAATAAGAATTAAAGGAACTCTGGGAAGACTGACTCTATGCATGAAGTCCCGTTATGAATCTCCGTACCCTAAACCCTAGACCCTGTAGTACAATCCCATATCTCCCCCCCAAATAAACCCCATGAAGCCCCAAAAAACCCCATCAAGCCTGCCAAAAAACACCCATAAAAAACCTCGAAAACCACCGTAAAACCCGATAAATTCCTCATAAACGCCATAAAAACCTCGACAACCCCCTGCAACCGCCCGAAATTCCTTACAAACGCCAGAAAGCCTCGAAAACCCCGTAAACCCGAGAGTCCCTTATGGTTTCCCCAGGCCGTGTTCGGTGGCTGGCCAGCCTCGTCCCTGCTGCTCTCACATCCCATGCGGAAGCTGCAGAGGGAGATCGAGTTCCTGTGGCACCTGGGCGACAGCCAAGTTAGGGTTTAGGGTTTAGGGTTTAGGGTTTAGGGTTTAGGGTTTAGGGTTTAGGGTTTAGGGTTTAGGGTTTAGGGTTTAGGGTAGTTTAGGGTGTAAGGCCTCTGAGACTGAGCCCTAAAAACTGAAACCACAGTGGCCTTGCTAAAGAAGCTGGGCCACCTGGAGGTCGCGTTGCAGCGAATATTCCAGGTGTTTAGGGTTTAAGGTGTAGGCCAGGACAAGATATATGCGCTGCAAAGCTGTTTGAGGGATGTGTTGATTGCAGCCTAAACCCTAACCTAAACCTACATACACCCATAAACATTAAACCCTAAACCCTAAACCCTAAACCCTAAACGCACATTGGAGGGAGGCAAGCAAGCGGTCTATTGGCTGAGGGTTTGGGGGCACAAAGTTTACAGGCTGTCCACTCCTAGTCCCTAAAGAAAATCCTCAACCCTGGACCCCACATGACCCTAAACTGTAAACCCAGAGAATCCTAAACCCACAGAAATCTGAATCTTAAACCTAGACGCTATGCCCTGAACCCCAAAACTCTAAGGGATGTTGCTTAAGTTAGTCCTACACCCTAAACCCTAAACCCTAAACTCTAAGGATGTAGCTTCAGTTGACACATACCCGAGGCCTGGCACCCTCTCCTCGGTGGTTGTCAAGCTGCTCGGCTGCTCAGAACCTCCCGGGGCCCCAACTGTTGAGGATTTGGGGTTTAGGGTTTAGGGTTTGGGGTTCAGGGTTTAGGGTTTAGGTTTTAGGGTTTGGGGTTTGGGGTTTAGGGTTTAGGGATTAGGGTACCCTAAACTCTGAAAACTCCGTTGCCATACTCTATAAACCCTAAACCCTATATACCCTATACACCCTATAAACCCTACAAACCCTATAAACCCTACAAACCCTGTAAACCCTGTAAACCCTGTAAACCCCATAAGCCCCGTAAACCCTATAAACCGTATAAACCCTATAAGCCCTATAAACCCGATAAACCCTAAACCGTATAAACCCTACTACGAACCCTAAAAACCCTACAAACCCTAACTCCTAAGCCCTACAAGCCCTAAAAACCCTCAACCCCAAACCCTACAAACCCTAACTCCTATAAACCCTATAAACCCTATAAACCCTATGAACCCTATGAACCCTAACTCCTGAACCTATAAACCCTATAAACCCTACCCCCGAAAACCCTATCTAAGGAGAGCTGGAGCCGCGCTGGACACGGTTTCCTTAGGGGGCCTTTCAGGGCGTTGGGGGCCAGGTGGTTTCGGCTTTAGGGCTTTTGGACCCTAAACCCTAAACCCTAAACCCTAAACCCTAGGGCTTTTAGGGTTCAGAGGTTTAGGGTTTCGGTGCTGAGGGTTTTTAGGCATTTGGGGCCTTGGTGGGGGTTGAGGGCTTTAGGGGGCTGGGTGTTGTAAGATTTTGGGAGCTCGTTCGTGTTAAACCCTAAACCCGAAACCCTAAACCCTAAACCCTAAACCCTAAACCCTAAACCCTATACCCTAAACCCTAAACCCTAACCCCTGGGAGTTGAGGGAGGGAGCTTCAGTTGCTTAGGCCTTCGCGCTTTGAAAGGATGTGGAGGCCAAAGAATCCTGAGCTCTATAGACTCTACTACGTTTAGGGTTTAGGGTTTAGGGTTTAGGGTTTAGGGTTTAGGGTTTAGGGTTTACTACCATCCCGCACCCCGGTTTAGGGTTTAGGGTTTGGGCTTTAGGGTTTAGAGTTCAGGGTTGGGGTTTGGGGTTTAGGGTAAAGCATAGAATGCTAGAGCTGCCGTACTGTGCCCAGGTGCTGAGTGGGTAGCATTCTTGTTGTAGCCTCGTTGTTATGAAGACCTCAACTGTTGTTGTGCAACCATACTGAACATACAACCTACTTAGAACAAAGCCCGAACTCCTACGCTGACTCAGAACCATCCATAAAGGACCCAAAGCAAGGTTGTGCCAGACCTGCGTATTTCTGCAAGCAGCCATCGAAGTCTCTACCACGCCATGCCTAGGAGAAACCAAAGGCCCTCAGATACCAACAAAAGACAATCCATAAGCAATGTGGCGCTGTCAGTACCCCAATCAGATTATAACACAGTGAGACAGACAGCCGACTTTCACGCGAGGGATAACCCATGAAGCCCTCCCTGTTCGGGTCAATCCTCCCTAAACCCTAAACCCTAAATCCTAAACCCTAAACCCTAATGCAGGATCCAGACGTCGGACTCGGGAATCTGCTTCGCAATCCCCATGACCTCAGCATCAGCACTCGAGATGAAGAGTCAGAATTAGGGTTTAGGGTTTAGGGTAAGTTTAGGGTTTAGGGTTTGGGGTTTAGGGTTTAGGGTTTAGGGTTTAGGGAGAGTCTGCAACCTGAAGCCTTCCAGGGCTCTAAGCCCTAAAGGGCTTCAGGAGTTTCGCATTTACCTCTAGAGTAAGCCTTCATGATTTTTTTCCCTAGAGAAAGCATGCATCCTCTTAAGAAAGGGAACGTGCCCTAACTATTGGGCATAGTGACCTTTTCTCAAGGTACGGTAGGGCCCCTTAGGGCTTAATCTGCTTTAGGGTTTGACTTCGCTTTTCTTTGAGCCCTGCGCAACGTACTCGTTATACAATGCTAGGTTGGTTTTTGGGACATTTTTCATTTTCCTCATTTGGGTTTATAAGGGACCCTATGTATACATGTTTTTCAGAGGGCTTAAAGTCCGACCCAGAATACTTCCCGGAAACCGAAAAACCTAAGCCCAGCACGTTTAGTACTAGCGATGCCAGGCAGGAGGATGTGAAATTTCAACCCTAAACCCTAAACCCTAAACCCTATAAACCCTAAAAACCCTAAAAACCCTAAACCCTAAACCCCCAAAGCCCTCAAGCCGAAGGTGGCATAGTGGATGCCAGGATGTGGGTTCCCGAAGTGACCTCCTTAACACCTCCCTCCCCCACCCCCCTCCTGTCGTAAAGAACCCGTTATTGCAGTACGTGATCCTAAACTCTAAACCCTAAACCCTAAACCCTGAGCCCTAAGCCCTAAACCCTAAACTCTAAACCCCTACACAAAATAGGGATGCGGGTGGGAGGTTGCTGATGGGCTTGGGACCATCAAGACCCTGGCGCCCGTTTATCAAAAAGCCGTACCGTTGACTACATCCTCTTGTGTTCGAAGAGCAAGGGCGGCTCGAATTTCGAATGCCACGCTGGGTGGTTTTGCAGCCGAGAAGAATGAAACACAGTTGGGTTGTTCCGTGAAGCAATCGTGCGTTTGTTGTTGCTTTTTTCGGTGCGCTCGAGGACAGAACCTGCATGAGCAGGAACGACTCATGTTGACAAACAGCAGCGCTACTTCCTAAAGTAGCACAATACTGCTGTGGCGGCTTGAGGCCTCAAACTGGCCTACCATAATGCACGGCGCTGCGCAGATCAATGTGGGTTCCAACACCCCGGCAACTTGCACAGGCATGCTTTGCAAGTGGCTTAGCCAGTGGCCTAGTGAGCTCAGGCCCAAGCGGCGTGACAGAGTTGACATCCAGTGCACCGTGCTACTGCTGGCTTCACATGCAGCACACCACGTAAACATCTGAGCAAACCACGAGTCACAAAACTCAAACCAAAGTCACACTCAAAAGCATGTGAGGCTTGCGATTCAAGGCACCTTCTACGGCTTCATGGACACTTGTCTGACCAGCGGAGCTACTGCTGGCACCGTTACCTTGAAGCAAAGGCTTTCACCTCAAGCACGTGCGAGAGATGAGAAACGCTCAGAAACAGGCGATACAAAAACAGACATCCAAACTTACCTTCAGCGTCTGACAGGGTTTTTCTACGTTTTGATCCTAGGCACCTTCTGCTCTTTCTCCTTCCAGGTGCAAGTGTTTACCTCGTCCTTACATGCAACAAGGGTTCTCGTGTCCGAACCCAGCAGAACAAAAACAAACGAGCGTGCGCTAACCTTACCCGCGACATCCGCTCGGTGCTGCCAGGATCGCGTGAAGTGTTGTCTAAGGTCAGCTGGAGGCCTGACACCCTCCTCTCGCAGTGCGAGTCCTTGCCGGCGCGATGGCTCGTGCGATAAAGTCGGAAATTAGAAAAGACTGTTCCCTCTGGATGCCTACTGCGAGAGCTTGAAGCTTTGGTTGCCGAACCTCCGCCGTTGAGTCAGCAACCTGCGTGGGTTGCCCGTGTCTCCTTGTGCCGGCGTGGGTGCAGGTGTGGGTGCTGGCGCGGGCGTGGGTGTGGGACAGGGTGTGGGTGTGAGTGCGGATGTCTTGAATTGTTCGAGGCAGTCGTGTTCCCCATCCATCAGATTTCCAATTTTAGGCATCCTAGGTGCTGAGTATAGGTGGCCGTTAACCTGGCTTTCGGCGAGCAAAAATACTTTGGAACCCTATAAACCTGATAAACTTACCTTCCCCCCTCCGTTTGGAAGACCCAGTCAGTAAGGCATCGATGGCGTGGACTACCCGCTGGAGCACGACAAAGCAGCGAGTCACATAGGCACCCGCGCGGCCAAGGAAGGGCCTTTGAGGGTTCGAGGCGGTTTAGGGTTTGGGGTTTAGGGTTTAGGGTTTAGGGTCCATGGCAAGTTATAAGTAGGGTGGGTGAAAAGTACCCCTTCAACAGGATAGGCGGCTTCGTTACTTCCGAACACGTCCGTGTTAGAGCCCTTTGAGATTGCAAGACAAGTCCAAGCCAACTTCGAGATTTGGGCAGATAATCGCAAGAGACCTTGGGAGCAAGGAAAATATTTGCACAAAGGGCTAGCATGGCCAAAAGTCTTCCAGCCTACAGCCTAAGAAAAGTCAGCTGTCAGCAGATAATCCGGTGTTAAGACATTTGAAGCCCCAGCGAACAGCCGGACTCTTTGCGCCACACCGCAGGAGCGACAGCGCCGAGTGCTCCTCAAGGTCATCTGGAGCCAAGCCGGAGGCAGCGTCGTCCGGCTTGCTTTACAAAAGCATCCTCGACCCTAGACATATAAGCCCCAAAACCTTCTTTCAACCCTGTACTCTTCACTCGGACCCGAAGCGAGAAGAAAGCCTGACCTTGTTTTGAGTCTCCTGCCTCCTGCCAGCCCTTGAAAAACCTCCCGTCACTGCATTCAATGAACTTCCTGACTCCTCGACACCGATGCTCGGACTCCAAAAAAGTGCCCAGGAAACCAAGAGGGTTTATATTTTTTGATGTTAGCTGGCTGAAGTTTCAAAGAGCTTCTAGGCCAGGTTGCAAAATGAAAGGAGAGTATCAAGAACAGCTGGGGACACCTCTGAGACGCCTAAACCCAACACTTAATACCCCGGACCCCAACCCCCTAAACCCTTCATTCAAGCAGCCGTCCCTGGAGCTCCGCCGTCTCGTGGGGTGTTTGCACCCAGAGACTCCAAAACCCCTTAATTAAAGAATTATACCTTAATTCATGTTAGGGTTCCTACTATAATTTAAGGTATTATTGCCTAATTAAGGGGTTTTGGAGTCTCTGGGCAGGTTGCCTTCTTCTTACGGTGGTCTGGTTCCTCCTGGAGTGGCGCATATCGAAGCTGCGCAAAGCCGAAGCTTTGGATGTGGATGAGGCACATCGGACCATAAACTCTAAATCCTGAAGTGCCCCAAGTTACATATATATATATGTATATATATATATACGTATAGACATATATATATATATATTTGTATTTATATTTATATGTAAATTTATATTTATATTTATTATATAACGTATAGTCGGGTTGAGGGTCCTAAAGGCCCGCATCAATCCCTACGGAGCGCCCCACCTCCCTCTCGAAGAGTCCTCAATCTCAAGTCCCAAATTTAAACCTAAAGCTATTCAGCGGAGGCCCGTTGATATTTGTGCGTTCCTTTCCAGGGCTTATTTGGATTCGGTACCTTATTAGGGGATGACTGGGTGCTCTCACCGCCCCTAAACCTTGAACCCTAAACCCTAAACCCTACACCCTAAACCCTAAACCCTAAACCCTCCCTTGTGCCCTGCTTCCCCTTATAAGGCTCAAGGTGCCCTAAACCCTAAACTTATAGACCCTAGACCGCAAACCCAAGCAAAAAACCTTGGAGGTGATCGCCGCCCAGAAGTCGCGCTTGCAGCGGGCAGAGCGGCGTCGCATCGGCCCGCCGCCTTCGCACGCGGAGGACGACGGCAGCTGAGATGCAATGGGGGCCTTCGGGGCCGTTTGTTTAGGGTTTGGGGTTTGGGGTTTGGGGTTTAGGGTTTAGGGTTTATGGTTTAGGGTTTAGGGTTTAGGTTTTAGGGTTTAGGGTTTACGGTTTCGGGCCGTTTAGGGTTTGCCCTAGACCCCCCACGGGCTTCATAAGGTGGTCTGCTGCCCATGGGGTTTCTAAGCAACAGCAGCTTTTTAAGACCGAAGGTTGAGGTAAACGCTGGGTTATGCGCGATATGCGTACTGGGCTAGCCAGACTGGCTACTAACCTTCCCAGAGACTCCAAAACCCCTTAATTAAGGCATACACCTTAATTCATGTTAGGGTTCCTAATAATTTAAGGTATTATTGCTTAATTAAGGGGTTTTGGAGTCTCTGGGTTAGTGGGGAAGGGGGTCCTATACATTTTATAGCCCTACTTGCATCCGCCCAGCCAAGTAGTCCAGCAAGCAATCTTTTGGCCGCCTTTCTTTGGAGAGAATGACCCTGACAGCCCTTAGAGAGTCCCAAAGGTTCAGCTTTTGCTCCAGAAAACCCCCCAGAACCCCCAATGCCGCAGCAACAGCAAAAGCTGCCGAGGCGGACAACCGAACTTCAAAGAAACCCACCAAAAAGTCACCAAAGGCAAGCCCAAAAACTCCACAGCTGGAACTTCGCCCTAAAACCCTGGAAACCTTAAACCGTAAAACCTCAACCCTAAACCCTGGACCCTAGACCCTATAAACCCTAAGCTACTACTAAGCCCCTGAAGCAACTTTTCCCGTTGCACCCTCGGCTCTTCTAAACCCCTAAGCCGTAAGCCTCACGGCAGGGTTGAGGGTTTAGGGTTTAGGGTTTAGGGTTTAGGGTTTAGGGTTAGGGGTTTAGGGTTTAGGGTTTAGGGTTTAGGGTTTAGGGTTAGGGGTTTAGGGTTAGGGGTTTAGGGTTTAGGGTTTAGGGTTTAGGGTTTAGGGTTTAGGGTTTAAGGTTGAGCCCTCAAGCCTCAGCCCTAAAGCCCTACGAAGACCTTAGCCCTAAATCCTAGTGGAACCCTAAACGAACCCTGAAGAAACCCTCGAACACCCTAAAAGCCCAAAAGCCCACGAAAAACTCCTCAAGAACCCACGAGAAACTCCTAAAAAGACCCTAAACACCCCTAAAAGCCAAGGCTGGGGCGCGGTCCAGCTCGGGTGGGCCGGGCAAAGCCTGGAGCCTTGGGAACCAGCCAAAGACTTGCTGGAGGAAGAGGAAGACGACTAGGAGATTTAGCACCAACTGCTACTTGTACCCTGGAGCGATAGTCTGTTTTGTTTAAGGGTTTAGGGTCTAGGGTTTAGGGTTTTGGGTTTGGGGCTTAGGGTTTAGGGTTTAGGGTTTGTGGGTTAGGGGGCACAAAAATAGCTGGGTTAGCTCCTAACCCGAAAATTGAAACTCTTAAGCCCTAAGCCCTGAACCCCCGGTCTCTTTATAGTTATACTAGAATAAGCCCCCCAGAACCAGATTCCAATTCTTAAGGCCTACATTAGCTTCTCGCCTCACCCGAGATCGTGCGCGAGGACAAAAGAAGGCGGCGACCAGGTGTTGGCCAAGAGTGCTGAGCCCTGAACCCCACTGCACTAAGCCCGAAAACTTAAACCCTAAGCTCTAGAACCTGAGCCCTAAGCCCTAAGCCCTAAACCCTAAACCCTAAACCCTAAACCCTAAGCATTTTTCAAGGCCTCTCCGTACAGGCTCCCGATGGCCTTCCCGCGATGGGGTCCTTTGTCTTGTGGCGTCCCTTCAGCTACTAATTGCTTAAGAACCCCCCATTAAAAAACATCTAGAAACCCTAGAAGCCCCTTATAAGCCCCCTATACTCCCCCAAAAAACATATTCTTCCTTATTAAGGATAACATAGGGATTATGATTTCTTAGTTTTTGGGGGTGCTTAAGCAAATAGTAATCAACTGTAGCAACTTGGAGTGCCGTAGGTATTCCTCCCTGGGATGTTGGGTGGAAGGGCTTAGGGTTTAGGGTTAACGGTTGAGGGTTTAGGGTTTAGGGTTTAGGGTTTAGGGTTTAGGGTTTAGGGTTTAGGGTTTAGGGTTTAGGGTTTAGGGTTTAGGGTTTAGGGGCACTAAGCACCACGAACTTGCCCAGGCAACGAAGTTCTCTTCGAGGCAAGGCTCCTTTCAGAACTTTGGGGAGGTTGGGTTTGGGGTTTGTGGTTTAGGGTTTAGGGTTTAGGGTTTAAGGTTTAGGGTTTAGGGTTTAGGGTTTAGGACTTGGGTTTGTTCGAAGGGTATAGGGGTTCTTAATGGGAAGATGCTTCTTAAGCGGGGTGAGAGGCTTAAGGGTGATGAAGAGTGCATTGCTGTTGCAGTGCCAGGTTTTCGGGCCTGGGGTGCCCTTTGATCCCTACATTTCTGGGATGTTTTGGGCTTTTGGGCGTCCCCAAACCCTTGTTGGGACCTCCGAGTCTCAATCTGAACCGCCTTGACGCTTCGAATAGTTTGGGTGCGATGAACTTAGCCAGAAGAAAGGCCCTGAACCCTAAACCCCCCTCCCAAAGCCCGACATTTTCAATATTTCAGCGCCAGATTGCTTCAACATTCTTCCCTAAAACAGACCACAAATAGTAGGATTCCCTCATAATACGTTCTCCAATAAGGTAACCCCCTCTCCCCCCCCCCCCCTCCCTGTTTCGGAAACCCCCAGATGGCCACTAAACCCTGAACCCTAAACCCTAAACCCTAAACCTCAGATTTCTTCCAGGCATTGGGCCCTCAGCTGCTCCGCCTCTGCGAGGAGGCTGAGGAGGACTGGGGCTCTTTGGTGTTAGGTTTTTGAACCCCCCCCCCCCCCCACCAAGCTTGTTTCTTGTTATTTCCTCTTAGGTGTTTAGGGTTTAGGGTTTAGGGTTCATGAACACTGACAGACCGCTGTCGTGCACATGTTTGATCTTTCTTCCCGGGACGCCCTGGGGGGGGGGGGGGGGGGGGGGGGGGGGGGGGGAGGTGCCCCTCCCCACTGGAAGTAACTTGAGTTTGGTGTTGAGGGCCTCTTAGCCCTCAACTTTGCAGATGTGGTTGTGGTATTTGGGGTATTTGGGGGGCCTGCCGACACAAAGCACTCCACCCAGCGAATGTCGTTTAACACTCTAAACTTTCAAAGCCTCATAAGCCCTATAAACCTCATAGAACCCTAATAGACCAAACCCCCTGATCCCTATAGAGATAAAAAAAAACCCTAGGAGGCCTGTAAACCCCACAAACCCTGGAAGCCCTATAGTGCCTGTAAGTCTTTGTAAACCCCCATCAAACCCTCATGCCCTATAGTGCCTGTAAATCAAGCCTGTTTTCCGAGCCTTCCGGGAGCACTTATAAACTCACCCAGAGACTCCAAAACCCCTTAATTAAGCAATATACCTTAAATTACAGTAGGAACCCAAATATGACTTAAGGTATATTCCTTAATTAAGGGGTTTTGGAGTCTCTGGGCAGAGGACCCGGCAGCACTGCATGCAGCTCCTGGGCATGCGTTGGCGGAGGCTTACTTGGAGGTTCATGGTACTTATTAACTAATTAGAACTATACTTGAAACTCCATATTAGGGCACTTAAGGGGCTTCTAAGTGGGTTGTAAGTACAGCTATAATTGGTTTATAAGTACCATGAACCTCCAAGTAGGGTTTCGGGTCGAGTTTAGGTTTGAGGGATGCGAGGGGGACTACTCGCATTCAAAACCCAAAAAGGCCGGGCCTTAGATCCAGAGCCATAAGATTTCATGGATTTTTGCGCGTTACCCAGAGACTCCAAAACCCCTTAATTAAGGAATATACCTTAAGGCATATTAGGGTTCCTACTGTAATTTAAGGTATATTGCTTAATTAAGGGGTTTTGGAGTCTCTGGGTAGGGCGATTAGCCGTTTAGTGGATTCTTGCCTGTCTTCCATGCTTAAGTTGTTGTAGGGGGCTTGCTGCCTTATAGGCCCCTGCAAGTGGAAAACAGGGTACTGTATTGTTTTGAGGTTCGTATGGTTTAGGGTTTAGGTTTAGGCTGGCGCTACTCCCCCCTCTCCACGCGAAACATGCGAGAACCCTAAACCCTGAACCCTAAACCCTGAAGCCTGAACCCGAAGACCCTTGCTGTAGGAACCCGCCAAGTGGGCACCCCACACTGTGGGAAGCCCACGGGTCCAGCCGGGCCAACGCCGTAATGTAAGTTTTGATTGAGGCATGGTAGTAGGAATCCCAAAAACCTACACCCTGAAACCCTAAACCCTAAACCCTAAGAACACGTAGTAATGATATTAGGCATAGCAAGAAGCACAGGAACCAAGTAAGAGGAGAAGTGGTGATAGTAAGAGCGAAATAGCCCTGCTTAGAGGCCAAACCCCCCTAAACGCCAAACTCCACGCATTCTAAACCCGAAGCCCTGAACCTGCCAAACCCTAAACCCCAAACCCCAAACCCGAAACCCCGAACCCCAAGCCCTAAACCCTAACCCTAAACCCGAAACCCTAAACCCTAAACCCTAAACCCTAAACCCTAAACCCTAAACCCTAAACCCTAAACACCAAGCCCAGGCTTTGAGCTCGGCAGTGCAGGCGCACGAGACGCTGAGCCTCACCGGCTTGCCATCGCACCTCGGAAAGAAGGGGGGGAGGGGGGGGGAGGGGTTTAGGGTTTAGGGTTTAGGGTTTAGGGTTTAGGGTTTAGGGCGAGGGGGCGAAGGGCGAGGGGGCTTTGGTGTGCTTCGGGCTTAGGGTTTGGGGTTTTTGGGGTTTAGGGTTTTGGGTTTTGGGTTTTGGGTTTTAGGGTTTAGGGTTTTGGGTTTTTGGGTTTTGGGTTTTGGGTTTAAGGTTTTGGGTTTTGGGTTTTGGGTTTTGGGTTTAGGGCTTCTTTAAGGACTTTGAGATGGTTGGCCATGTTGTTGTGCCGTTGCATGCTGTGGTGTTTCTGTTCAAGAAATCCTTGTGTGTTGTGGAGGGTGGGGGGTGGGCGAGGGAGTTGGGGTGTTTCGAGTTTGCCGCCCCTGAAGGGAACTAATTCAAATCGCTAAATATCTGGGGGGCGTGCGGATGCTGTTTCTGGGTCACTGTTGAGAATCACCCTAAACCCTGAACCCTGAACCCTAGACCATTCTCCCGAAGCCTCGAACCCTAAACCCTAAACCCCAAACCCTAAACCCTAAAGCCCGCATCCCGAAACGTTCCTGAGCCGACTTTGGGGTTCAGGCCCCAAACCCTAAACCCTAAACCCTACACCCCAAACCCCAAACCCCAAACCCCAAACCCCAAACCCTAAACCCCAAACCCTAAACCCTAAACCCTAAACCCTAAACCCTATAAACCCTAAACCCCAAACCCCAAACCCTAAACCCTACACCCCCTGCCTGCGCAACGAAGGTACTCTGCCCTGCGCAGGGCATCGGCCGCCTTGGCATCTTCTGCTCCAAGTGTGCCACTACCAGCACAGGGTTTAGGGTTTGGGGTTTAGGGTTTAGGGTTTGGGGTTTACTTTTTAGAGTTTAGGGTTTGGGGTTTAGGGTTTAGGGTTTAGGTTAAGACCTGTTCTTCAGGCATCAGGGTTTAGATGGTTACTAGGGTTTGGGCTCTAGGGTTATCGGGTTTATGGAGTTTACAGAGGGTCGGAAGTTTGACAAGTTATTGAAGATGGCTTGTTGAGGTTTACAGAGTTTCAATAGGCCTCAAGGAGGGTGTAGTGTTTAGGGTTTAGGGAGGCTTGTCGCGGCTTGGGGGCTTACAGGGTGTAGGGTTTATAGGAGCGTGCAACGTCTTGGTAGACCCTAAACACTAAACCCTAGACCCTAAACCCTAAACACTAAACCCTAAACCCCAAACCCTAAACCCTAAACCCTAAACCTTAAGCTCGAAACTCCGAGGCCTAACCCCTTCGCGAAAAAACCCCTATACCCATCGATACCCGATTTTCTACACCCTCACGCGATAGCTCCGAGCCCTAGATCCCAAAACCCTGCTAGTCAGTTGAGGGATCTTGTGGGATTCGCCAAGGGTCCTGGGCAGGTTAGGGTCTGAAAGCCATAAGCCCTGAGTTTAGGGCTTCAGGGTCAAGTGGTGTGATGAACCCGAACCTACCTCTTGCTTCTGTTTTGCTTTAATCATGTTGCTGCCGTAAACCCTGAACCCTGAACCCCAAGAGGATCAAGAGAACACCTACACAAAAGAAGGTGTGGGCCTCTTGAAGTGCCCCATTGAGGCATTGAGCCGCCCCGAAGCATACTAGAGCCTTGCCGCCC